TTGCGACAGGTTCAGCTGCGGAAGTGTTTGTGTCTTTTTAGGTTGGGCAAACTATGATTTACCAGATACATCCATTTGCTTCGTGTGATGTTTGATTGTTGCCCGCTGGTTTGAGAAGAAAGTTTGGATCTCCACCTTGTGTGAGTGGAACCCCAGAAGGAAGTTGCTCCTGACAAATGGTTCCCGGATACTCTTGAGGGAGGATGGACAATTGACGCTAAGCAGCTGAGCAGCGGGTTTGTTTTTAGCCGCAAGCTAATTTAGTGGGGAGAGGGACGTTATTCTTGAAAATGTGCGCCGCGCCGCACGCGCGGAATCATGCGAAAGGCTCGCGGAAGGGATTTGTTCGCGGAAGGTTTGCGGAAGCTTTGTGGCTGATATACAACTAAATGTTTCAGTGCGTGCATGGAAAAGCTCGGAGAAACGATTCCAGTAGAAGAAAAGGTGTTGCTGCGTACAAAAAACGCAACGCTTACTCGAAGAGCAGATGCCAACAGCAAGCCAAAAAGGCGAAAACGGCCGGCGTATTTCGCGGAAGCTTTGCGGAAGCTTTGCGGAAGCTTTGCGGAAGCTCCGCGGAAGCTCCGCGGAAGGGCGGCCCCGTGTTTGCAGGCAAGTGGCCACGTAGCATGGGTAGCCCAATGGAGCCCAAGCCTACACAAGCTGCGGCGGAACACAACCTCACTTAAAATGACTTTCCTTTCTGCGCCAATGCTGGCGGAAGCAAATCTTGTAAACCATGCCCCGCGGAAGGTTTGCGGAAGCAAACAATGAAAAACATGTGCCGCGGAATTTCGCGGAAGGGACCTCTTGGCCCGCGGCAAGGATGAGGAAGGGTCCGCGGAAGCTTGAATAATGTCCAAGCAAGTTTGTAGGGAATAAAAACCAACGCTCAGTTGTTTTTGAACACCTACCCAAAGGGTCTCCGACTTTTGAAGCATCCAAGCAGAGAGTTCGAGTGGAGAGGGTGAGGGATTTTGGGTTTGCTTCTATTTTGTGAGTGGCAGGGGACCGAAGACCCTCGCCATTTGTTGGGGTCCCAAGTTGGGAGGAGCAATGCGAGTTGCAACCTTTGTGGTGATGCTTGGAAGGTGACGAAATCTTCACTTACAGGGGCCGGTTTCCTGGTATGAACATCGGAACCCAACTTCCCATAGTCATCCCAGGAAGGCGTCGCAGATCCTGGTGGTCCATATCTTGGAGAGGCTGCAAGCAAGCCTCGAGCTGGCTGGCCTAAGAAGGGACAAGTACGATGCTTAGTTGCATCCGGCTGGGTCCACGTTTGGCATCTAACTACCTTTTTGGTTGACACGGGGCAAATCTATCTAACTCTGCCAAAAGGGTCCGAAGAAGGGCGCAAATGATTCCCCTTGCTAAAGGTGGGCGCCTGGGATTGGCGTGGCAATTCCGTCAAACCCTGGAGGATAGCCTGTTGTTGGTTACAGGTGCAACGAGTGGGTTCCTTCTTTTCCTGGTGAATGTTCCAGCTAGAATTGGAGAATGGCTCTACCATGCCTGTCTGTCGTCCAGAATGTCAATCAGCCGCGCTACCAACACAACTGCCACGCTTCCGCCACACTTCCGCCACGCAGCCGCCACACTACCGCCACGCAACGGCCACACTTCCGCCACACTACCGCCACACTTCCGCCACGCTTCCGCCACACTTCCGCCACACTTCCGCCACGCTTCCGCCACACTTCCGCCACGCAGCCGCCACACTACCGCCCCACTTCCGCCACACTTTCGCCGCACTACTGCCGCACTGCCTTACTAACGCCACGCTACCGCCCCACTTCCGCCACACTTTCGCCGCACTACTGCCGTATTGTCTTATTAACGTTACGTTACCGTTACACGACCGCCACACACACACACACACACACTTCTGACATTTGTTGTTGCAGAGAAGGCCTCAAAAGCATGGCAGGGCCTTTCCCCAAAGCTAGAATGAACCAAGCAATCAGCCGTTATCTTTTGTGGCCATGGGCTGTCGCACTTTCTGGTTGCAAGGATGACTTCATCCTTATCTGCGAGCTGATTGATCCCCCGAAGAAGGAGCTGCATGAGTGCTTGCGCGCTGGGACGCTAAAGGAGAAATGGCCCGAATTGATCAAGGGCCGACCGGTGGAGAAGGCCCGACAGATGCTCTTCATATGCCTGACCTCCGGCGACGACTCTCAAAGGGAAAACATAGGGAACCCTAAACAATCCAATGTATTCGTCTTGATAACAGAGCAGAACCGATGAAGGCCTTCTTGTATGAGATTGTGAGCAATTGGCGGAGTGGGATCGACGTGGACAAGTTCGACTATTTCCGGCGGGACGCTCACTTCCTGGGTCTTCAGCGTCAGTTCGACCATGTCCGGTACATGAAGTCGGCAAGGGTGATTCTGGACAGTGACATGGCTTCAGACCCAAATTGTTCAAATTGCCCATCTTTCGGAACCCTGAGGTTCCCTGAAAGCAAAAGATGAACGGCGTTTTCTGCTCAGCGTCTCAGGAGTTAGCTTCTATCTCACCGTCGTTTACTTTATGTAGGAGTGTTATATGTTTGTTGTTTTTCTCGCGGACAACGATACGGGACGTCCACAAAAGATTCCCCAGATCGTGAGAAAAAGCCTGAACAACGATACAGGACGTCCTAACGTCGAAATAAATACACCCTGGACAAGCAATTTTGACGTTGGCTCAGGTGACAGGGAACAGGGCGTGCCCACAATCTCACCTCCGGAGAAGGACCGTGATAACATCCGAGATAATCTGATGGAGCTGCGCAAGACGCTGCATCGCACAGCCTACCAGCACAAAACGGTCAAGAAGCTGGAGCAGCACCTTGAACATTTCGGAGCCATCAGCGAAGGTCCAAGCATCTGCCAGTTCAAGTAGAAACGGGTTCTTGACGGATCTTGACGTAGAAACAAGTTCTTAAACGGGATGGCTGATGTTTGACGTTTTGGGAAGTCCTAGTTTGGGGGTTCCCAGTTCAAGTCAAGCGCAAAGGTGAACCCCACAATTCAGGAAGGGCTCTTGGAAGGGTCCCAGGTTCTGAAAACCATGCTGGGGTAAGCGGTCCCGAATGATTCCCTAGCCAGGTCCTTTTGTCGCAAGTGGGGTGTGCTAGAACCAAGGACCCTGGGACCAGTTTCAAGGGAAATCAACGTGAGTCTAAGCCTTCAATTCAGTCCGTGTCTGAGTCTAAATCCCACAATGTGTGCTGCTTTCTGCTTTTGCTTTGTCCAGACTCTCGGCAAAACCGCCCAGCAAAGTGAGGCACATGCTGAGTTGTTGTTCATTGTTTTGCGAACTTCACCCAAGAAAGCGGCAAGTCAGGTTCCCACTCCCCCAAAAAAATAATATGTCGAAATTCGAGTATGTGAAAAACAAGAACGGCAAGTGAGGCACATGATTGATCTTTTGAAGCTACTGGACAAGACGCCCTTCCTCACCGGTTCCAGCGGGCAGAAGCTGACCATGAGTCAGGCAGCGCTGGACGTTGACCTGGTGGCGTATCCCAAACTCACCGACATGGCGGCGGCCTAGTTGTCCATTGGTCACACTTTTGTGCAACATGAGGTCTTTTAGAACCCAAGAGAGCAGAGCAAATGTACGGGGCTCCCAACCCAAACCTTTTGCAAACCTACCATTCCGTTTGTTCTTGGTAGCTTCGATCCATGTTAGGGGGCTGGCTTGTGGTGTTTGTGTTCGGGTGATTACAGACCAGTTGGTCTTCTATGGGTTATCAAAGCCAGAAACTGGGGTCTTGAGGACTTTGAAAATGGTACGACCCGTTGCTTTTTTTGCTTACCCGTTCATGTGGCTAACTTTGAATTTACATGTTTTGTTTGTTGGCTTCTTCTTCAGTTTAGTGAAGCCTCGCAAAGTGTTAGCTGTTTATGGCTAATCAACTGAGCAGGTCGGGCTGGCCTGGTGTTCCTACCCTACCACTGACCATGGGCGAATTGAGTATCCGGAATCCCAGCCACTTGTGTCCTCTTTGAAGCACGGACGCAGATCGGAATCCTTCGCAAACAAACATCTTCCCCAAACCCCTGATTTCCGTTCAAAGGTGGAGAGCCGATTGCTGGAAGCAGAGGAGGATTTTTTGCAAGAGGCCTGCAAGGAGTACCAGCTGAGATTTCTGCAGAGGAGTGGACTTGGGCTTAGGATTCTGAGAGCCGAGTCGTTGTTTTGGACACTGACCCAGCGAGCTCGTGCCAAGGTCATTTTGGATAAACGGTTGAAGATTTTGGCAGGTGCCGGGACCCGATGGTTTTCAATGCTTGCTTCAAGGTAAGCAGGGTGTTTCTCTTTTTGTTGCCATGTGTTCGCTAGAAAGAGAGAGAGAGAGAGAGAGAGAGCAAGAGATAGAAAGAAGCAAAAACTACGCAAGCAGCAAAGCCTTCTAGGCTCGCAGGTTTCAGGATTTTTGGCTATGGATACTGACCAATTGTTTATTCTCGAGTTGGCACTGAGTCAAACGAGTCCTCCAATTACAGAAGCGCCCATGCGGGTGCATTTGTTTGACTTGTTCAGATTGGTTTAAACCCATTGACCCTCCCCGCGCTTTTAAATGTTAGACACAAACCCATTTAAAAGAGAATCCCATTTGCCTGTGCCTTCCGGTTTCTAGTCTTCCAATTTGAGCGAAAGCCGAATCTGGGCACTCAAGTGGCCAACATCGAATCCACAAGCTTACGGTCAATCACACTCGGGGTGGCCCTTTTTAGATCTTTTTAGACTGTGTGTTGGGACAAATACAGGGTCCCCCAATAGTGGTAACGGTTTCTTTTTGGCAGGCCAAACTAGTTTCGACAAATCACACTTGACTGCTATGTTGGCTCAAGCCGACCACGGCAGCATGGTTGCTTGTCACCATTCATCCATGCCCCTTGAAGTGCGTGACAGGAAGATCATGCGGAACGTCATCATTTGGACCCTCAGCAACGAAGAGGAGAATCCACGATTTCAGCTGCCTGAAGAGGATGACTACTTGGCCCGGGTCCTGACAGCATATTATGCCACGGCCGTCATTCAAGCCTCCAGGCCCAATGCGCCTGAGTACCATTGCCAGACTTAGCTCGCCTTTTTGCCCTTCTGCCGCCCTTTTGAAGTGTGCTTCACCTTTCCTGTTTTCCCTGCACACGGTGTTAAGGGTAACTTGTTGCAGGGCGGCGGATGCGTCTGGAGGTACGAAGTCACTGCGGATCAGCTTCGGCTTGCAACAGCCAAGCTGAACTATGGTATGGGGCACAAGGACCTGCTTCAGCGCTTGACAAAATTAGGGTCGCTTGTGTGTCAACTCCATAGAGGGGAGCTGCTTGATTTCAGCTAACATGTTTGGCTTAGATGTGTAGTCTTCATGACCTGCAGCTGTTCCTGACCTCAGAATAGAAGATGGCGCTGGTGCTTATCCTTGCCCCGGGTTGGCTGCAAAATTAGTTGATCAACAGGACCGTAACCTATTCGCAAAGGAAGCCTATAGAAGCAAGTTGATGTTGAAACACTAGTTGCTTTAGCATGTTGAAGGTGGCAGATGCCCAACCCTGGCTGCAGAGGATCCGGTGAAGAACATCATTTTCCACGACAAGCAGCTGAACAAACGAGGATATGACGCAGACCCGGACGCCAATCCACACCGGACCAAGCTCTTCCTCTTTTGGAACCTTGCCGATTCACCCAACGAGTGCTTTCCCCTAAAGGATGCCGCAAGGATGGATACAACGACGATGGGGAAAAGAATGACCAAGATGTTCAAGAACTGCATGCAAGCGGAAGGAAAACCGTAAAGCACCGAAAAGGACCATCGGCCTTTCGCACTTCATTGCTTTTAACCTGTGAATCCGCAGTTGACCTTCAAATAACTCGCTATTTTTCCGTGATTCGCTTCGCTCCTCCGTGGTGTATGTTGAGTGTTTTATAGTGATCGCGTCCCGTTGTGAACTCGTTATCCGCATATTTGAATGCCCACCTTTATGGTTCTACAACTGACACAAACTGACGCTGATATGCACGCGTCGACGAGCCAGACTCACCATCGCGTGGCCCAATGTCTTGATAGCTTTGTATTGGTAAAACTTGGAACCGCGCTCGCATGCAACACATATGGCGGGGAATCGTGCATGTGTGGACTTTCGGGGAGGAGTTCAGTCGTGCATTTTGGGCCGCGCTGGAGTTCAGTCACAGATTCACAATGAACAATTTGATTCGACGGCAAAGACATGTAGGCATGCAGGAATGCAATGGCATGTGCATTGATAAGGTTCCGAACTAGAAAGGCTCTGGGCTTTGAAACTTTTTTGAAAACTATACACGGATTGGTTTCCTATGTTCCAAAAGGAATCCACAAGGTTGGAGACCACAGCTGTTTGAGTTTTCGAAACCCAACCGAGGAACCCTCCAAATGACTTGGATCCGGACATCTGCGAGGCCACCCTCCACAGGCACGGAGGGCTTGTGTTTCCCATGGGCTTGCGCCCTGGAAGTGGATCCCCTTGGCTTCCCTAAGCCAGGCAGGGGGCTAGTATCCTCAGTCAACAAAAACAAACCGGCTTGTTCAGACAGAAGAACATTGCCCAGCTTCGAAAAGTGGAGTATCTAGCTTCTGGGAATATGAATTCCAGTTGTGAGTTCCACTTGTTTTTCTCTTGGAAGTTCGCATATTGGTTCATTAGGGCAAGAGTGAGTATTGTGTGTGGTGTGGATGCTGATTCAAGTCGCAGACCTCCAGTGGTGCCCTTTCCACTTTCCACGACGTGGCTTGCCTTCAACGTCAACTACCAAGCAACCACCAAGAAAAAGGTATCCCTTTTTTCCCCCCATGGCCACTGTTGGACATTTGCCAATATGACTTGATCAGTTCTCATGTACAGACAAACCCTCCTCTTTTGTTTTTCAACCTCACGTTTAGCTCGATGTCTAAGAAAGAATCTCTAGGGCCCTAGGTTAATTGTTTGTTCGAAGGTAGCACACAGATGGGTGTGCCTGTTTATGAGGGTTCCATTTGAAGGCAGGCTGAAAGGGAAACCGCAAGAAAACCAATGTTCGGTCTTCCCCAATCCCCATGTGTGGTTTCCTACTTTTTGTTCCAGACACTTTACCCTAAAAGCAGTCATAGTTGGAAAACAACAAGAATACTGGCGATTCAAGTTGTCCTCAAATGATTGAATGGAACCCTTCCATACCTGTAGGCTGACCACTGCCGCCAGCACGGTGGCCAGCGACTTGAACGGGGACGCCTTGCCGGATACAACGCCGCTCCGCAGAGGACACGACCACCTTATTGGAGTTGAGGGAAGGGGAAGGTTGTGTCTGGTTCCATGTTCCCTTGGAAGAATAGAAAACGGTTCATTGGGAGAGCGGACACCCCTACAGAAATCTAGTAAAGCCTTCGTAAGGCCTCTGCAAGGTGCGCTTGTGGGAACATCCCAAGAGTCCAACTGTTTGCAAACCGCTCCCAGGTACAACATGGAGGACCACTGTGATGCAGTCAAGGTCCTTGATGTTGAGTCTGTGGTTAAATCGGAATTGATTCTTGAGGGCCCTGGATCAGCAATGCGATGCTGTGGTGGTTCTAGCTCACATGGACTATCGAAGCACTGGTGGACGTGTTTTTTTAGGTGGGGAGTTGAAACAACCAGAACCCTAGCACCGCGCGCAAGCCTCAAGGGACACCAACAGGTTGATTAGTGTGCACATGTTGGGGGGAGATGGATGTCCCTCCCGCGACTGTTTCACAGATAAATTGAAATAGGGTGTTCATATGCTTTCTGCGTAAACTTGTAAACGTTAGCCAACGAAAGGCCCCATGCATCTCCAACACACCTTATTTGGAGCTTGGGTATATGGTCTTGCTTTACACGGCTGTGGTATGCTCCGATTCCCTTGAGTTACAGTATATATTTGGGATTTCACTGGAGCGACCATGATCCGCATTTGAGGAGTGTTGAGCACGTATGTCCATGTGGATGTGTGAACTTTCCCAAGATGACAACCATGAAAAAGAGGGACATTCAAAATGACCAGTGTTTGTTGAATGAAACCACCGGAACTTGGGATTTAGCATGATATTCACCTGCCAGTTCATCCACAAGTCAATGGAGGCAGGCTCTAACGAACTCCAACAAATCGGTACATTCAGGGGGTTGCAGTAAACCTCAGCTGCGTGTTTCCTAGACATTCTAAATATGTTGGTCTGATACCCGAAACAGACCCATTCTTTTCAGCCAACCTCCTGGGGGGGGGTCGAGTCCTGAGGCCCGCGTCCCCCATGAAGCCCAAGCGCGCCAGCGCCACGCCCGGGTGCTCGGATGGCCGCGGTTACCCCAGACCTCCCGTGGTGCCCCTTTTGTCCATTTCAGCTACCCAAAGCAGGCAAATCCTTTTTCCCATGGCGGAGGTCAGGGTTGAGAGTTGGAATCCTTTAGTGGACATAAGAAACGGGGAGATACTTCACACAAGTATTGTTGAGGGTGCTTCCCCTAAAATTATGGTTGATTCTGGAAGCTTATGGCCCATAGCCTATAGATACAACTCGTAGGACTTGGAACACCCTCGAAATGGGTTGATGAGCACAAATGAAAGCATGCGTATTGAGTATGCCCTGAGAATCGGCAGCCTTCCCGTCGCTCAAGTGTAGTTGGCCTCAAAGGTTAGGTGGGAATGCATTTGGATTTGCCCAGATTATTGCTTGCTCTCGGAGGTGGCCTTACAGGATTGGTTGGTTGTGCGTTCTACCCCCTCGACCAGCAACTGTTCTTGGGTTTGCAGTGGGTCACACCAATTGCTTAAATCCCAATCCACGCAGAATGCCCACTTGTGGACGCCCATGGCCTTTGAGTTCTGATATTGGCGAAAGGGGCGGGAGGTGTTGCTCAAATGCCATACTTCTAATCTCTACGCTGCAATGGTTAGATGTGGCGGCAGTTTATGGTCACAACTGACTTGTTGCATCCCTGCAGTAAGAATGGACCTGCTAGTCCTCTTGTTGATTAAAGTGGGTTGCTGAACGTATAGGGAGTTCCTTTACTTTCGTAACAGGGAGTCAGCTATTCAGAGCTGTTTGGAATTTGTTACAAGATGGAATGCAAACGCCAGTGGCAATGATGGCGCCTCGAATGGTGTGTCAAGAGTGGTTCCAATATTAAGCCAACATTTGCAGGGGTCCATTTGGTCCTACGCTGGCAACTTCAGGTTGATCCGCTTGAACTATGGGAGGATTCCCAACCACTCTCATCCGGAGGCATTTCTTACCCCGAAACCGGACATTGTCCAAACATTCAGGTCCCTCGACAACGACACTCTGGACGCGAAGCCGCCGCCAGCCCTGTCCTTAAAGCGCGGGATATGTGCGCTGTATTTTGAAGGGCAGACAGCAAGAAATGACACCGTTGTCTGAACATGTAGCGTATGTTTTCCTCGTCCCTATGGGCCACTCGTTGTTGGCATGTTTTTGACTTTGGTTTGTTCATATCAGTTGTATGTTTTGACATTCTGCGGCTCAATGTTTGTGTTGTGCTGCCCGCATAAGTATCATTGTCAACATTGTTTGTAATACAATATGTTTTACTCTTCTGCTAATTTCCAGAGCGGCAGGCGATGAGGTGAAACGGATGGGTAGGGAAAGTTCTGCAGGCGAGCTGGGGACAAGCCACCCCCAATGGCGACTTGGCCCCTGTGCTGCTCCTTGTTGTTCCGCTTGCCTCACTGGACATTGAAACTGCAAGATTAATGCGGGAGGCGGACCAACAACAACAAGCGTGCATTGAACCTGCAGAAAGTGTTGCTCATGAGGGAGACAGAAGAACACTCAAGCACGTAGTTCATATTCCATCAATCGAATCTTTGAGCTTCAAGAAACAGTTGAGTTGTGTTTGTGTTTGGCATTCTGTGAGCAGCTTCAGGTCAGATGTCCTCCATATTCTTGGGGCGAAGTGTAGAATCCTCGCAATGAGGGCTGGCGACCTTGCCCATGATGAAGGTTCCTGGCATAGGGATTCCTCATTTCATGTTTGCGAATCATAGTAGGTTGCGTGGTTTTCTATCCGTTAGATTCAGCTTAGTTGTTCACAACTTGAATCGGTTGTACGTACGTACATATACATATACATATATATATATGTATACACATATGACAATATCCTATATACATGTGTGTGTGTGTGCGTGCGCCTGGGATGTAGTTGTGCTGTAATGACTTCACGCAATGTGCGTGAATGTAATGTATATAGGGTGTGTGTGTGTAATGTAATGTAATGTAAAGTAAAGTAATGGAATGTAATGGAATGTAATGTAATGTAATGTATGTAATGCAATGTAAATGTAATTGTAATTGTAATGTAAATGTAAATGTAATGTACTGTAATGTAATGTAAGTAAGGTAATATACTGTAACATAATTGAATGTAATATGATGTAATGGAATGTACTGTAATGTAGTGGAATGTACTGTAATGTACTGTAATGTGTGTAATGTACTACAGCGTAACATAGTGGAATGTAATAGAATGTAAGTTAATACAATGCAATGTAATATCATGTAATATGTTCTGCAAAATAATGTAACGTACTGTCATGTAATGTATGTATGTCTCTATCTCGTTGCTTGCTATCCTTCATGGTTCCTCGCCCACTTGGAAGCAGAAGTGTCCTAGGACAGCATCTTGTTTCCACGTGTCGTGTTCACTCTGTGAATTGTTCATCCTGGACATCTCTTTGGAGGAGCAGCCCAGTTGAGCAGCGTCCGGAACCGGGTTGCCCACTTTTGTAGGGGGGTTGTACTGCCTGGTGTCGAGACAACAGCCAAATATATCCATTTACTAAAAGTTGCTTGGTTCTCGGCATAGCATTCGGCTCTCCAGTGCTTGAGGCCAAAAAGTCGAGGCGGATGCTGAAAGTGCAGTCCTCATGCCCAGCGCCTCGGCAGAAAGGATGTGTCACGACAAAGACCAGCGGTGCCCGCTTGTTCGTTTCTTGAATGTCTAGTGCCGAAGAAAGGGCCCATTTGTTATTCCCCGTTCAGAGGAAGCAAGCAAGATACCAAGCATTAAATTTGGAGGTCTTGGTTTTGACACATACTGTACCATTGCGTTCGTTATGGTGTTTTGCTTGTTTGGTTCTGTGCATTTTTCGGGAGGGCTGGGAAGAACCCCATGTGATTTCTTCCCAGGCATGTTTGAGTGGCAACTGCAAGCAAGGGTCTTCCCAAGACCCGGAAGGTCCCTTGTTTGAATTCCTTTTACTCAGGAAGCCTTAAACCTGGCAACAGTTTTCCCGTTGGTCTCCTAGACAGTTTTCCAACGGGGGTGCGAAACATGTCCTGCGCCTATGTGGTGAACCTTACAGTCCTTTCCGAGGGCAAACTGGTTTATAAACCCAGGCAACAGAGCCCTGTCCAACAATGGTTGAACCAGTTGCTTAAGCACGTTTCAACAGTAATTAAACTGACCCTCAACCAGCCGGCGAACTGCAAGAGTGAGATGACTAGACATCCCCTTTTGGACATGCCGTTAAAGCATCTTTGGGCGGTAATGCTTACAGGGTGCAATAATGGCGCCTTAGAATACGAACCTGTAAAGAAGTCCATTCCCTTATAGTTTGCCTTTGATTCAACCGAACAAGGAACAAGGCCTCAATAAGACGCGCCCATATGTCGTGTCCCTTCATGGGGCTCCGGAGGCTCGTCTCCGCGTTGCCATGGGAATGTTCGGCTCCGTTGGCAGAGGGGCAATCCGCAAGTGGCTTTCGGTGGTTTGTTGGTTCCGGATACTTTTCAAAGCATCCAGAAAACAAGTCCCGTTTTTGGCCTGCAGAATTTTAGGGGAACTGTCCGCCAGGAGCACAGCATACAACGATAAGTTTGGCCAATGTTTAGCGCAGCCATGTTGGCAACAATAGCCCCGCACCTTTTGGAGGTTGTGGGCCTTAATTGGAGCATTTGATGCAGGCAGGCACCTCCAAAGTTTGAAAAAAAAACACGAACCACAGCTTAGGGCTCCGAATAAGACACAACCCATTGTGGAGATCTTTCGATTCTTTGGGGAATGCGCGGAACAGATTGCAGGACGCGTTGGAAGGCCTCTTCGGCAAGCTCGAGCAGCTCGACTGAAGGCCTCGAGTGAGTTTGCCGAGACGAATTGATGCGAAGGTCACCTTGTGTACTTCAAGTACTTCAAACCTTGAGACGTCTCCAAATGGTTGGTGTCCGTTTCGAACAAACCGGAAAATGCCTGGTTTGAGGTGTTGATAAGTCTTATGAGCGCCCCACAAGCAGGTTCTTTGGTGCCTGCTGCCAAGTGTCGCCAGGCTTTGGGGGCATGCTGTTGGTCAAGCGTGTAGACCTTTCGATTGCCTTCTGTCCTGCAACCAGTGGTGTAGCCATGATCAAGCAACCAGCAACCCTTGGGTCATACAAGCTCACCCATCAAGGATCCTTTCAGGGTCCTTATTCAGGTTTCGGGAATTGGTATGGGTGTGTGTGTGTGTGTCAAAAAGGAACCGTTTTGGCAGACACTCTATAAAGGATTCAAAGACTGCGGAGGGGGTGCTTCCGTTTCTTACAGATGATCGATATGCATCGCCACGGGTGAAGCCTCAACTTACTGACCTTGGGCTTCTTGTTTACTTCACTTGACTCAAGGTCGAACCAGGGTCTCAAAGGTCTTCACTTGTTTTACAACATGTTTTCTTTTTGGCCTCACGGTACAGCAGTGACGAAAAAAAGCCTCACCTGTCACCTCACCTTTGGCTTTCGAGGTAATTGGTTGGGACTGGTAAATGGATACATGATTTTGTCAGTGCTACCTGAAGCAAATGGGATTAAATGGGAGGTGTCGTCCGTTGTTTGATTTTTGATCTATATATTGTGGCCCGAAATGCTGAATCTGTCATAGACTGATCGTTCTGTCAAGTGAGGTGGGGAGCGTATCAGAATGTGACCGAGTTTCTTCCTATTTCCTTTTGCATGTACATACCTGCACTTTGTTTATTGAATGTGTTTGATGCGCCTCCATGTGACCGGCAGTTATCGAATTTATCAACACCAAGCACCAGCCACAGGGCGAGAGTGAGACCACACTATGCTCTCCGAACAATATATAGGCATTTCCCGTGAAACCGACGGCACGAATCGGCTGAAAAAGGAACCCAGTAGCAGGAGCCTTCTTTCATACTGCATGAAATTGTAAACACTCCGCGTTGCCCGCCTTGGCCGAGATGCTTTTGGCTGGCTTTGAGGTGCTGTGTTTCGGCACCAAAATGCGCGAGCTGGTTTCCAAGATAGACGGCGGGTGTGTATGTTCGCGCATTTCCACATGGCTTGAAGGGCTAGATGCAACAAGAGCCGTGGTTGAGGGAATGCTTAAGGAACGTGACCAGTTTTTGGGGACCGGTTTTTAGAGGGGATTCGACTTGCTTCTAGAGTGGTTTCTGGGGGTGACTGGAGCTGGGTCGGTTTCGGCTTCTAGGGGCAATTTGACCGGCTTCTGCTAAGATTTGGCCGGACTGGTTTGTCGAAAGATTGTGACCGGCTTCTAGGGGGATATGGGTCGAGGGCAACTTGATTCGGTTTGCAGGGGGGCCATTGGGGGATGGGGTTGTAGCAGATCCCAAAGAGGTCTGAATGGGTTTGACGGCTTCCCGGCCCTCTGTAGCCGAGGCGAACAAGACACGTATAGCGTTCAATATGTCATGTACACTGACAAATAGCATCTATATCATGTAATTTTCGCGAAAAGAAGCACATACGAGCAATAGCGCAGTAGTATATGTTTGCAACACTGAAGCCTGCCGTCTCACTTGCCCAAGAGCCGACGTTCGACCTTCATGGGTTTTTCTCACCCGTGTTGGTCCATCTTGCGTCAAGGTTCTCACAGGGTATCCTCCCACCTATGGACATGGAAGCTGACAGGAGGATTGTGGAAGACCACCCTCCCTTCGGGGACAACCCTGTCCACTGAACCCCTTTGGCAACCTGTTCACGTTCCTTTGCACAGGCGGTCTGGACTTCGTCGCGATCTCAGATGGCAAGTGGCGCAACTTACACCCCCCCACTGTGCGAATTGAAGCAATGCTTTGGAGACGGCTTTGGAGGGGTCAAGGGGTACAGCCAGTGAACTTCAGCAAGTCAGGCTCCAGCAAGGCTTGCTCATGCTCTGACTCTGGGGAACTGCCTTTTGAGTGTTTCGGTTTTCGCTGAGAATCGGACCCGAGTAAGGTTGTTTCTTTTTTTACCATGCAGTTATTCAGCGGTCTACTAGAAACCCCGAATAAAGTGTACCGCCTTTTTTTTGGCGGGAAGGTCATTCCATTTATCTGAGCAAATTAAGCCGCAAACTCGCATTCTGGGAGGGGTGCAGCCAAATCACACTTGGTGAAAGTCCCTTTCTGAGTTCTTTATTTCATGTGAGTGTGTGTATTGCAGTGGTTTGGCCGGAGTTTGTGAACGCTTATCTACCCAAACTGATACCAGGGAGTGCCCTTCCCATCATGAGAAAGCGAATCGTTTGAACCAGGGGTATCACACCGAAGTGGCCTGTCCAAATTAGGCAATGCGGATTCGATTTCTCCTGTGGGCCCTTCGTAAATCACCCGCTTTGACGTGCACTTCTTACTTCCACAAGCTTTGCGGCATGTATCAATCTAGACCACAGGCTACTTGGATATTGCCTAAGTAGCTTGAGACCATGGCTGCAACCTACTTACCAAGTAGATTAAACAGCCAGGTAAGCATGGGTTGAGATTGTCTGAGTGTGCAAACCAAGGCACGGTTCAAGAGAAGCAAGACTGAGCTGCAGTGTGCGGGGGGCCACACTTTGGGAGCAGCTTCTCACCACCCACAGCATCGGATGCTGGACTGGCGCGCTTTTCTGTCGGATCCGCTACTTGACACAACCACCAGATGGTTGGGGTCTCCTCAACATGCGATGCTGTGCAGGCGATCTGGAAATCCAGATCGCGGGGACCAAAAATTCACTCGGTTGCCCATAATTTGTTTTCCTTGGGTCCTTGGGCGAGTGAGGGTGCCTTGAGGGCTCATGGCGCGAGTGAATGGGGATCGTCGAATACCGTAACCTCGGGAGGGCGCCAGTCGCCTTCACGAGTCACCAGTCATTGCTCCGAGCGGAGCATAAAACAGATGGAACGCTGACCTAGTTTTCTTTGTTTTCCTTTGGTGTGCTTTGCATGTTTACGTATAATTCTGCATTTGCTTCAGATGGTGTCTCTTTACAGGAGCCATTTCTTGTGCCTATCCGCATCGCCCGCATTGCCGGCGAGAGAAAAGACTCAACCCGCACAGGGTTGACCTTTCGGCATTTTTAGCCCCCCGAGTATCTTTGCCTGGTGGGGTTGGGGCCCGCCCGTAGCAGAATGCTCAGAATTTCAGTTTGAAGGCACTCTAAATCGTTCTCCACCAAAGAAGGGCAAGCCATAAAGGCTTCCTTTGTCTACCAGGGTCACCTGGCTTGGGAAACCAGCGTCCATGCCCAGCTGTTGTGGAATTCGGCAATCTGAGAACACAAGGCTCTCGGTTCTTTGGCCATATGGGTATGTGTCAAAATGGGACCCCCATCCCTGGAACCAACCTGACAAAGGTACCCTCAAAAAAGTGAGAACCTGTCGAGGCTGCAGCCTTAGCTCTCCTCTTCGTGGTTGAAAATTCCAGAGAAGGGGGCATCAGGGTTGGGCGAGATTGAACAACAAGATCCTGTATCAATCAAAAAGGAAGCCAGACGGAAGCTATTTCAAGCCCGTGTGTTCAAGTATGCGTTAGCAAGGGGTTGAAGCGCCAACTCGGAGGTGCATTGAGGCGCAAGGCAAGTCCCCGTTTGATGAGTGTCATGCTTGTCCCTTTGGCAGGCTCAAAGTTGCAGGTCCAGACTCCAGGCATGATGCATAAGTTATCCCGAGGACTCGCCACCTTTATTGATTGGTTTTTAAGCGTTGGTTTCTTGCAAACCCGTTTGTGTTAAGTGGCTAGCAACTGGCGGACAATGTTCCGCTGGGCTGTCTTGATTCTAGGCCGTGTTTAGCAAGACGGTTCAGTGAAACATCATACATCATGGCCATCATGGCCCGCTACTGGAGCGCCCTCCTTTGCGTATTTCTGATCTACTCTCGTGTGAAAGGCTTACCTTCGCACTAACCCTGGCTCACTTAGGCAGAAACTGCAAATGGTTCAGACTTTGGCTCCCCAGGAAGAAAAAATCACCGGATTTCCCAAAACTTCCTCATTTGTCCCGGCCAATTATGTCCTCTATAGATCCCCATGTTCTCATGTTTTCCGCATGCTCCCCCAGATATGGCCATCACGTACTCTGCATGTCCCTCTCAATGTATCAAAAATCGAGCGACACCCCAAAATCCGGTGTTCCCTTTGGGTTCCCTTTAAACCCAGGTGAAAAGGGTACCCTCAGAAAGCCTACCCATTTTGTAGTCAGATCCCTGTCCGCTCAGGCTCGGCGCTTGAAGCATTTGCAGCCTCCTCTCAGGGCCGGGACCCCATCTCCAGAGGGTCTCTATATGTATATACATATATATGGTACAGCATTGCCAGTCCCCCCCCCCCAATGGTCATGGGTCAGACAAGTACCCCCCCCCCGTTTAGAATTGGTGTAGGGTTGGTTTAGGGTTGGTTTATGTTGATTTAGGGTTGGTTTAGGTTCAGAGGTGTACGGTTTAGGGTTTGGTTTAGGGTGTATTTAGGGTTGGTTTAGCGTTGGTTTAGGCTTAGTTTAGGGTTAGTTTAGGGTTGGTTTAGGTTTAGGGTTTATTGTTTAGGGATTGGTTTAGGGTGTATTTGGGGTTAGTTTAGGGTTGGTTAATGGTTGGTTGCGGGTTGGCTTGTCCTGGGGGTGGGGGTGTCGGGGTGCGAGTTCAGGGGGTCGGGCTGGGGGTGGGACCGTAGGTGCCAGGATCCGGGCTCGCCGTGGGGGGGGGGGGGGGGGGGGGTTCTGGGGGACCCATACCATTTGGGGGGGGAGGGGGGGTAGCAACACGGGACACGGGACCATATATATATATATATAGTTGTATACATATATACATATATATATATATATGGTCTCTATATGTCCTTTTTGGCGGTGTTAGATATGTTTGACCCAAGTA